TTTTATATATATATAGCATATATATATAAAATATATATATATATATATATATATATATATATATATATATATATATATATATATATATATATATATATATATATATATATATATATATATATATATATACACACACACACACACACACACAGTGTCACAATTTATACTTTAAGGCCTCAAAGTGCAAACATTTGGAGCAAATTTAGATTATAAGGAGAACAAAGGGCAAGGGGGGGCCCAAACACCTTAACACACACACACCAAAACATTCATTCAGATCAATTTCAACCCTACGTTTCCATGATGTGCACACTGTAATCCTTTTATGCACATTATACAATTATTACTACCATCAATAAACCCATTATTTTGTGTGATAATACTACTGATTTGTAATATCCCTCAGAGATTACAAAAAATACATTCAGCCCAGTAGTGCTGCTGTAGCAGAATAAGGCTCTAGGTAGATAACAATGAGCTTAAGGGTAAAAATATTTGTTGAAACAGCATTTACTGTTATATTTTTCTTTCCTTTCTCCTTAGGAAAGACTCAGATGAAGCCGATCTGGTCCCGGCCCGTGAGGCCAACACTCGCTGCCCTCAGGTGGTAATTTCCTTTTACGAGGAGAGGCTGACATGGCACTCCTGTCCAGAGGATGAGGCTCAGTAGTGCTGTCGTCTGGTCCCGTTGCACCACTCGTACCCTTTTCCTCAGGACTGAATGTTCTCCTCTGGCTTGCCTTTTAGTTTTAGCAATGTTAGTTTTTTTCGAAGATATTTCAGCCCTCGCATTGTATGGCTGTTGAGGAGAAATATGTTGTTGTAAATAATAGCTGAACTGTTTGAAAGAGCGCAGGGTTTGGTGGCATAAGGACAAAAGTCTTCCGGTATATCATATGATGATTTAATGCGATGGCTATTTGGAAACTGTATTCTTTGATTGAACCCACCACTGCCCATATTCATACCTGATGACAGTTTGTAAATTCTAAATTGTTACTTTGGTCTGTTAAGGTTTCAACCACCTGCTCGATCACCATCGCAAAATATCGTAAGAATCTGGTCTTTCACAATAGTCTTAACGTTTTGTTCTACAGTGCATTTTGTATACTGTCTCTAAATATTATTTTGAAGTTCAAATAAAGTTTTATGTGAACAAAATGTCACTGCTTATTTTTTCATGGTTTCAAAAATAAATATGTCGTCATGAGTTTGCAAAATACAATACATAAGTTTACCTATAAATGTTCGTTTTAACTTTTGCAACATTATTCCAAACGCTTTGATCAAGTCGATTTTTTGGATTCCTGGAAATGTAGACAAATAAGAATAACATTTACTTGTATTGTTTGAAACCGAGTAAGATTTTATTTGTTTTCATTGTGTATCCAAATTTAAATCCTTGCCTTGATGCCACTTAATGCAATGAAACGACAGCAATGAGAAAATGTTTACACAGTAATAACTTTATTATTCAGCTGACCACAAAGAATGTATGACCCCATGTGTGATTTACAGGTCACATGTTTATCACTGGGTCCAAGACAAAGTATGCATGGAAATGTACCCTGTTTACTTACTGAAACAACATGTACTCATTACATGTTACTTAGACGCTTTTACCCAAAGCGACTTACATACTCAATACTGTGGACAGTCACCACAGGAGCAATTTGGGGTGAAGTGTCTTGCCCAGGGACATAACGACATGCTGACTGCAGTGGGGTTTGAACCTGTGACCACCTGATCCGAACACCTACGCCACACGCACTACTCTACAAGTAGTCAGTTGTCAATTCAGCACAGATTTGAGGCCACAGCACTTGAGCATTTTGATTTGAGAGGTTGTATACTTAATAACCAGTTCACTCTTTTCTTTTGACTTGTAAGATTTGAAAAGCATATTTTGTGACAGAATGTCTTTCCATTGCTACTTTAACCTGAGGAAATCTTTTCATCAGAGGTGGGAACTTACTCTGATGTACTTAAGTAGATTTTTCTGGTATCAGTACTTTACTCCACTACTTGTTTTTCTGACTACTTTTTACTTTGACTTCTTACATTTTGAACACAAATACCTGTACTTTCTACTTCTTACATTTTCAGTACAGGTTCGTCACTTTAGTTTTAATCTGTGTTTGATGGCGTGATCATTATTATTTAGAGTCATTGCGTGCCTATTGATTTGAACACGATCCGTGTATCCATCATTTCCTGGTCTTCTCTAAACAAAAGGGACCAATGAAAACTTTGTAATTTTGCCGTTGTTCAGCATTGAAACATTCATTAGCTAGCAATGACATTATTGTTCTATTATAAAGTGAGGTCAGTAAATTACTCTTTAAAACAGATTATGGGTACTTTTTACTTAAGTACATTTCTAAGCCCATACTTCTTTACTTTTACTTGAATAAAGAAGTGTAGTCAGTACTTCTACTTTTACCAGAGTATTTTCAAACAAGAGTATCTGTACTTCTACTTGAGTAAAGGATGTGTGTACTTTTGCCATATCTGCATTTCACACTTTTCAGCTCTAACATTTAAGAAACATCTGACTTCAGCTGTGATTGGTATCTCTCTCGGGCCAGACGGTATGTCTGCAGCAGTGTGGAGAACAGTCTCATGACTGGCATTATGGCATAGGAGTTGGACTTTGGACCTTTGGGCACAAGTGTAAAAACATTTTCCTAAAAAACCCACTAATTTTTGGGTTTTCTGTGGAAAAGTCACTAATGACAATAATAATAATAATTCATTATTTAGAGGCGCCTTTCAAATCACCCATGGACACCTTACAATTCATAAAATATTCTAAGGAACGGTTTAAGACCGTACAGAAAGTGACGTGCATCCTTCAAACATTTCGTCTGAAAGCTTTTCTTCCTGCAACTATGAACCACCACATGAAGGTGGACAGAGAAATGATGGCAGCTTTTACTGGAATATTTTTGATTAATCACATCTCCAATCAGTGAAGCACAGACATCACTTATGCTAATGTTAAATCATCAGATACTAATTTACAAGATACACCTATTCATGATAGCTCAACAATAAAACCCATGATCAAGCACTTGTAATGGAAAATGTTCTGAAAATATTGCTAGGATTTGTTCACGTCGCTGTATAAATATCAGGTTAAAGCACTTATATACTAATAAAGGACTGGCTTATCTAAAGCCAGTTGAGTAGCACTTGAAATGTTTTAGCTCTATGAAACCTGATGTACTTATATGATTCTGTTTTCCTCAAGTTTGTATCTTGTTGGTCGAATGCACTTATTGTAAGTCGCTTTGGATAAAAGCGTCAGCTAAATGCAATGTAATGTAATAATGTAATGTTAAAGCTGAAGAGTAAAGGTATATATGTAATGTTAAAGATGTGTAAAATCTGTGTTTTAAGATCTCATGATGAGTGAATGGAAGGACTTTGTGTTCCCCACAATGCTATCTATGGCTTTTTGTGTACAGCACATGACAGTTGTCCATAGTCCAGATCAAGTAAACAGTTCACTTCTTCAGCAGTTTTTTAAATGCATCTGATTATCTCTAAGAATAAAAAAAAAAAGAACTTTCAGTGAGAGAGACCTTTTATTCTGCTGACCTTACCAAAGATAAAGAGCCCTTTATATGCAAATGAGCAGACCATAATGAGGTGAAGGGTCTTTATATGAGTCCTCCTGGCACACTAGTGTTAGCCTACACTCCAGGCTGGATAGGATTTTAGAATTTACTCCTGAGGACTTTGGTAAGACATTTTGATTTATTCCTTAAATCGTAATTTTAGGTAATTTTAGTGCACAAATGTTAACTGTATTATTTCAATTGTGATAGCAATGCAGGAAATGACCTATAATAAGAGGATTATTCTTAATCAGCAGAGTAACGTTGCCAATATCTGACTCAGTAAAGGAGTAACAGTGACTGGTAGAAAAACAATTGACCAATGTAGATGTTACATCTTAAATCCCTTGTAAATGAACCCCTTAATGTCTTGGTGTTAAATAAGCTAAAGGTCTCTGTTTTATTTCAGTTATCTCTTTTTCTCTATGGGGAGTGTTTACTTTGCCTGCCTGGTGTCAAAATGCATTACCTCCTCAGCCACAGTTTACACCCTGCTGAATGTAAACTTTCTTTCTTACTGTTGTGGATGACCTGAACTACACTTTCTTGTCTTGAATATAAATGTTGTGGGTGTCACTCAATGGAGAGTTGGACAGCGAAATTGGTTAAAGGGAACCAGGTATTGTGTCTGTAAGGAAAATGTATTTTTGGGATTCAACAAAAAATGAGGGCAATAACCAGAATTCATAAAGTTTGCAAATAGCTACTTGATTCTTCACATTTTTCTATTCAGTGAACATTTACGTTAGTCTGTAAAATGTTACCTATATGCTAAAATACTTCTGTTTAGTCATCATAGGCTGCAACTGAATGCTTTGACTCATTGATAAAAAGCACGTATTAAAACAGAAACAGAAAACAATTATATTAGGTAATTAGGAACACATTGATTTACAGTAAGTCATGAAGAATGTGAATATTAAATAAAAAATAAAGCACCTGTGATTTTTTTTAAAGTGTGCATTTGGTGTCTGCAGTTGGTGGGATGTACACATATATCATAACTATTATAATTTTATAATGAGAGAAACTGAGTGACAGAGGAGACCTTTTCCTTTGTTTTAGTTGTCTCTGCACTCATTAAAACTTGATTTAAATAAGGAATTCACTGATCTCAAATCTTATTTCAGATATTATTATTTGTTATTAGGTCTGGTAATGGCACCTTAATTGTAATTTGAACAAAATGAAAGATTGAAAAGTAAAATATCTTTATTTGTGTCTACAGTATTGATGGTGTATGTTATCAATACATCCCAGATTTGATTGCTTTTAAATGTGGTCATTAGTTTTCACCACGTGCCATAGGCTCCTCCCACCAGGTGAAACCATTTAAACTGATTTCTCCACGTGATTAGGTACAGGTGCGCAGTGAGCACGTAGCCAGCACCTTTTACACAAGAGCGGTATCATTCTCCCTGTGTGTGGCTTGGTAACCTTATCGCAATTCATTTTTTACCACATTTTATTTCATGTATATTTGTATAACAATAGGGTGAAGAAGACAAGAAGTGATCAACAAGGAGGAAAAGGTCGCACTGAGTAGCTACGTTTGTGTGAGCAAAAGTTCAGTCCAGGCAGTGGTAAACCTCAAACTACCCTACTGAGCTGCTCCTTTTGGTACATAAACACCGGATTACTGCTCGGGAAGTGAAGAGGGAAAGGTAGGATACAAAACATATTGGAATTAAAGTTACATAAAAGTGTTGCGTTGTTGTACGCGTTTATTGTAGTTTTTTTCAAAACGGTTTTATCACAAACTATAGTAAAAATGTAATTGACTTAAAATAATGTCAGTGCCTCCTAAACTCTATTGGGTAATTGTATTCTTCCCTTTTTCTTGAAATAATGTACTTTAAAAAAATGTTTGTTTAAATGCCTTGGGGATTGCTCGTTGGCGTTTTAGGTTATACCTTTATTGTTAAAAAGTAGGCCTAATTTAAAATAACCCCAATTTGTATTAAAAATGTAAGACTTCATGGGACTAGAGCATTTTTTCAGTCCTGCTATTTCTGGATCAGTGTTGGGTTGAATTGAGATGCCTATTTATTTATCTATTTTGATCATAATTCAGTGCTTTAGTTTATTGCACTGTAGCAAAGTAATCTGTTATATAAGCATAGTGGCTGAGGAAAATAAGTGGCACCCTTTTGACCCTGTGTTTTTTCCTGAGGCTATTGTGTGGCCTTCTTTGATTTTCTTAAGCAGAACTGAATGAATGTGTTTGTGTTTGTGTGTGTGTTAAGGTGTTTGGGCCCCCCTTGCCCTTTGTTCTCCTCATAATCTACATCTGCTCCAAATGTTTGCACTTTGAGGCCTTAAAGTATAAATTGCCAAATCAGATCATTGATAACAAAAGGCTTTGGTTGAAGATCCTATTATTCAATTATTATAAACTGTTGTGAAAATGTTCAATCTCATGGCTCACCACAGGAAATCATTTGTTTGTGCTGAAACATTCTTTCATTGAAACCAACTTTTTCTCTTATCTTTTTTTTCAAGGTTTTTCTGTACCTGCCATGGAAAGTATGCTGGAAAATCTGTCAAACTCTGTAAGCGCTTTAGCATACTCCTTCACACTTTCCCTTGCTGAATCTGTGCAGTCACCACTTTTTTTACATTTTGATAACTTTGCTGAAGCACATTGTGTGTTTATTTTAAATGCATGCATCTTTACAATGTGTAACTGAACCCTTTTTGAATTTTATAGGACATAATCAGCATTTGTGTGCAAGATCCAAGGCTCTTAAAAGATTACCTCTGGCACACACATGTCGACTATGAGATCTGTTTACATGTAAGTGCATTTTGGAGAATTTCTTATTGGTAAATTCGACTGTGATAAAAGTATTGATTTGTTTTTCTGTTATTTTGCAGACCAATAGCATGTGCTTTCGAAAAAAGTCTTCATGTGTAAGACGGCGTTACAGTGAGTTTGTTTGGCTGCGACATTGTCTGGAACAGAACGCTCTGATCATGTATGTTCAAACCTCAGCTTCAAACCAATTATTGACTTTAATTTGGCATGCCATAGGTTTCTCTAAGCAATTTCTTTTTTTGGTTGGTTATTCTGTTCAGCGAGTTGCCCAAATTGCCGTCAAGGAACCCCTTCTTCAGTTCGAAGAACCCGGGACAGGTTGCACAGAGGATGAAGGGCTTCGAGGAGTTTTTAGAAAGGTGAGTTGCTGCTAAAATAATGGCAGCAATCAAATTATAAGACTGCCATATAGAGCTATGCTTTTATGCCCCCCCTCTTTAAAAGGCTGTTAAGAATTAATCTGCTGAAAGCAATAGCCCTGTTGAAGGTGACCTTACCTCACTATATTTTAACTATTTAAAAAGAAAAAAAGTTGTTAATTGTGCCATAATTATATATATTAATAATAAAGGGGAGGCAGTGGGTTGTGTGTTGGTGTTCTGAACAGGTTCAAACCCCACTGCAGTCAGCATGTCGTTGTGTCCCTGGGCGAGACACTTCACCCCAAATTGCTCCTGTGGGGATTGTCCACAGTATTGAGTATGTAAGTCGCTTTGGATAAAAGCGTCTAACAAGTGACATGTGATGTAATAATTATCCTTCCTCTTTTAGTATTTTTGAAAACCCTTTGTTGCTGTCGGACAGCCGGCTCCATCTGTTCCTCCAGTCAGACCTCAGCATCACGAGGATAGAGAGGTGTGCGAGTGGTAAGACAAGGTACACGGTGGCAGAAGCAATACAGCGATGCAACAGCAGCTTCATCAGCAGTTCGGAGGACAAGGCGGCCTCCTGTGACTCTGACTGTGAAAGGTAACGCTTGGACAGAAAAGTTTACATCTCTTTTGAAGAATAGTTTTCAATGTCTGATGCTAAACTGACCCCTCCATCACTTTCCCTCCCACAGCAGCTCTTCTTCAACAGGTTGTCACAGTGTGGACACTCCAGAGCAAGGGACCCCCGTCCCCTTCTCAGAATCATGACAGACACTCCCAGCTGTTCAGCTGTCTTTCAGCATGTCCCCCCCACGCGTCAACAGCAGCAGTGCTTGATCTGTTGGTGATCCTCCATGGAGCTCTTTCTTTTCTTAACCTTCAAACTACTTCACTATGCAACTTGGACATTTGTTGTTTTATTGTGCTTTATTTTTTCTCAAAGCATTACCTTGGTCATTTAATTGAGTGTGTATTTAAAAAAAGAAATCATGTTTTAAAAATGTATGATAAACCTGCACACTATAATGGTGATTTCTTAAACAATTCCGATGTATATTTTTATCTGCACTGAAGCTCTACCTATGTTGGCAAGGAATGAGCTTTGTATTGTAGACTAGGATTTTTAGACACATATTGGAATACTTCTATGCTGTATTAATGGTTGAATAAATTGTCTTTTTGATGAAAAAATATCTTGCTTCTTGAATAGTAATTGAACATCTTATTGAATTTTCCCATCACTTGTTTTCCTGAATACAGTGCTGTATTGTTAGAGCCCAGTAGAGGGAGTGTAGACATCATAGGACCTCAAAGTCTCTGAGTTAATACAGCGGGGGTTACAAGTCTGCAATGGTAACTTGATTTACACTGTCGTTTGTGCTGAACATTGGAGTAAGGTTATTTTTCTCTTTAAGGGATAGTTGATGCCATTGAGTCCATATCAATATTCAACATTAAGCTGCTCAGGGTTTAAGATGTCTGTATGTTATACACCCAATATTGTTATATTGTCAGTGACAATTAACACACACTTATGGTATGTTGCAAAACTGTCAATGTCCCTTTTGAGACGGTGAACATTTGACTACTAAACCCTAAAAAAGGTTTTAGTGAGATGTTTCTTTTATATATATTTAAGTCTGAATTGAATGTAAATGCCTTGACCAGAACCTAAACTGAACATTGCAAACTTCATTAAGGCAACATTATTTTCTTTAGTATATCCATTACACTGAGAACAGCCTGTATAACAAACTGTTCTATTTAACAACCTGCAATCTTTTATCTAGAAGGTCTATATCTACCAGTTGGATTTTAAATGTCTTCAGTGTTGTGATATTGGAAGAGGCTCAGTGCTGGTCACATTTCATCCCCGTGTCATTCCTGTCCCAGGTGAGGTGGTCTAATTAAAGTCAGACAGAAAATTAATTCAACTATTACAGACTACTCTTGGGAATCACCTGCAAGAAACAAGACGGCTTCATACTGTGTGTGTGTTACAGGGTTGAGATGGGGGGGGGCAGTGCAAGAGTGCAGGACAGCCCTGCAAATTGAAAGCTGATTAAAGAAGCGAAGGCTCATTAAAGGAGACAGCAGCTGTCCTCACCTCCCCCCCCCCCTCTACCAACTGCTGGACTGACACGGGCCGGTCCAACAGTAAACCTGGCCTGTCCCCTGTCTCTGTCCCCTGTCTCTGTCCTCTTCTCTCCTTCCCCTGGATGGTGCTGTCTCCCTTTGCGCACTAGCCATAATGAAGCTGTCAGTGACTTCACACCGCAGCCACTGAGCTGTATTCATACGGCAAACACAGACCCAGACACGTGAAAACACACTGACAGCTATGAGCACAAACACGTATACACTGTTGGGAAAGCTGTGGATGAATGAACATTTTCTCTTTTCCTCATCCCCTGTCAGTTCCTCGGTCCCAGTGGTTTGTGGTTGGAGCTCTCCATCTCTGTTTGCTGTTAAGGTTGACCTTATCAACGTACCCCATGACAGCCATAGAGCACGACACACACACAAACGCGTACACTGCTTGGTTCAGAGCCAGTCAATTTTCAGACAAAATTAAATGCAACCTCAAGTTGGTGGCATCTTGTGTTTTTGTGTGTGTGTACATGCACCCATCTGCCTTTTTGTCGCGGATAACATCCAGCATTTGGATATTGAGTATTCACCGTACATGTCTATTTCATCTTTGTAATTTATAACTCAATTTCCAATGTGCATTGATGCGCTTCATACCTCCAAAACATCAAACAAAGCCCAAACCCAATTGTGTTTCAAAGCAATTAGGGTGTCCACTGAGTTGTGAACGGTCCACGTTGCCGTGGCTCTGAGCCTGTATGATATTTTTAATTGTTAATTTTCTGTCACATTAGTCAACTTCAATGCTTCTGGACAGGTGACCGAGCTGCTGTAGACAACACATAAAATGACACGGAACATATTCTCAGTTTTTTGATGCGGCGGAGTCGAGGGTACTTTTATGAGATAGGGGGGGGGAAGGTTCAGCTGTATGTGACCAGTTAAATGACAAGATGGTATATCATATTTACAGCTGGTTTTATGGTAGGACTCTTTACTAATGCTTTTCAATATGTGTCTTGGGCCTCAATATTAGCATTAGTTTATGAGTCTAAATTATTAGCTCATTTGGACTTTCACCTGAAGCCACCGCGGGGAATGGCTTCACCCCCTTGACCTCACAAAAGCCAACAATGGCAAAATCCATATGAGCAATTATCTTGTGTAACTCTCTACCGGCCCCTGTGCTTACTTTGCACCCATAGAGTCTTTCCACCACTCTTCCTCTTCACTCTCTCTTTATTTCCCTCCATATACCTCTCCCCCTCAACCCTCATCATCTCTCTATAGACCGCTAAGTTAATTAGCTGTTCCCTTTTGTCGTTTTTTTGCTGACGCTACGTGCCCTGGCTCACTGTACCTCAGCTGTCCAACTGTTGAGAAGGAAGATGTCTCGACCTCGCAGCCAGCTTCTCTTCCTCCCCTACTCTCTCTCTCTCTTGCAGGAGGAGGGGTCAAAGGTGACGACTTGCATTGTATTTGTGATTATTACCTCTAAAGTGCTATTGCATAGAGCATCATTAAAAGTCAATGCATCTCCCTCTCCTTCCCCAACCCCACCGTTACACGCCTAAAACACACACACTCATTTTGCACGCACTCTGCACATCGGCAGCCATTTAACAGCTAAAATACGACCCGTGCGCAGATAAATGTCACAGGGCCATCTATCTGCGAGTGTTAAAAGTCGGCTAATGGAGATGACATATTAGCGGCCCAAATGACTGCCATAAAAACACCCACCATTCCTCGCCCGGCCACTGTGACTGCAATAGGATGTGGCACTGGCACTAGAACTATCCGTCTGCAGGAAGACGGAGAGGAATGGAGGGTGATGTCATATCTAGATGGACTTCTATTGATTCAATAAATTCTGCGAGGTTCAGCGCCCTGAAACAGTGATTGGGGAAATAACGACTGTAGCATAATGAGTGAGGGCCACCGAGTAATATCGCACTTTTCCCCATAACACGTGTGATGTAATGACCTCTCACCTTTGACCTTTCATAGAGTAGTTGGTCAGAAATCACGAGCCAGGTCAGCTTTGGCGTCGATGACTTGGTGTGTCGATAACAAAGCTGCCACTTCAATCAATAACACGCTCAAATCCTACTTGAAGATCCTCCACAGGTACGCGTTCACCTCCTCCTTCATACCTCCTATCTCTTTATTAATTACCCTTCTCTATCCGTGCGTGTCTCTCCTTCTCTGAGTGAATGGAGCAGTTGTAATTGCTTCTCTCTGGAGCAGTTAGAAGCGGGCACAAAGGAACCGTATAGAAACCACATTTGCATTCCAGATGAGCCGAGATGGAGAGGAGGGAGGGAGCACTGCCCTCCTGCCCTACACTGAGCTGCACCACTTACACACTCTCTCTCTCCTTCCCTCCCTCCTTCTCTCATTTATTGTCTCCCTCTCTCCATCCCTCCCTCCACCTTATCTACTCCCACCACCCCCACCTCCTCCCTTTTCGCAGCATGGCTCGCATTGTCTTTCCAGAGAGTTCCAAGGTCGACGGGAGCTTGCTCATCAGAGCAGGGTATTGTACACTTAGTGCTGCCTGCCATGGACGAGCTAATTTGTGTGTGCGTGTGTGTGTGTGCGAGTGTGTGCATGATCCTGGATGTGTTGCTTTGGTTTGTGCGCGTCCCGAGGCCTGCATATGTGAGCATATATGTGTCGAAATATATGGTTGTGTATGTGTGTGGCAGTAACTCTTATGGCTGGTAAAAAGGGGTGAAGGAGCGCAGGCTGTAATTAATAGCTCATAAGCTACGAATTGCATTTTTTTTTTATAACCACCAATATCTCACCACCTCTTACACCTATGCCATCACTCTCACTCACTCCTGTGGAGCACACACACAAGAACACACACACGCACAACTCCTGAGGGCTCTTCTTTTCCAGCTTGATAAGCATTTCTCGTTTGTTTCAGCGTTTTGATCAATACAGTTAAAACGCCAAACCAAGCATAATTAGGTCTGAGATGGCTCCCACTGTGACTGAATAGACTTCACCTAGGGAGGTGCTCACCATTATCATCATCACTCTGTGTGTGTGTGTGTGTGTGTGTGTGTGTGTGTGTGTGTGTGTGTGTGTGTGTGTGTGTGTGTGTGTGTGTGTGTGTGTGTGTGTGTGTGTGTGTGTGTGTGTGTGTGTGTGTGTGTGTGTGTGTGTGTGTGTGTGTGTGTGTGTGTGTGTGTGTGTGTTCGTGTGTTCATACCACACACAGCGTGATCTAATAGAATTGACAAAGTGCACATCGGGACGTAGATTAAAGGGGAACTCTGAGCTATAGGTTGATTTTAGCAGGTGATGGAATCGCCCATTCACCGTGCGCTCACTCACCTCCATCTTCATTCCCGTAATCATTTAGACAACCTTTACAATGCATCTCTGCCAGCAGGTTCATTTCAATATGTTATAGGCCACCTAAATCATTTTTTATTGGTTTATTTACTCAAAACGATACATAGATGGAGACTACAGAGATCATAAATTGTCCACAATAACCATTATACACAGTGAAGTGACTCTCCTTTGTGCCATAATCCACAGTGACAACCTTGGTAAAAATCCATCTAAAGAAGGACGACTTTGGGTACTGCACATTTACCCCTCATTAATACTGGACTAAGCCCTAGACTAAGCCCTAGAGGGAAATGTGAAAGTCCCTATATCTGCAAACGTTAGAGAAATAAAAACATTATCCTTTTATCACCTGTGACTTCACCTCTCTATCATTTTGCAAGGGGCTGGTTTTTATTATTTTCAGATAATAAATGTTTTAATGTTTGTACAAAAGTAAGATCTTCTTTCTTTAAGTTATAACATCATTCATACCAAGAACTACACTTTTTTAAGGGCTGCAAGTAATGTGTCTGATCTTTCAACCTACCTTGCACATTTCAATCGAACATGCCAATTTGTATATCCTACCATACTCTATCTCTTGACAAATGTGTAAGATGAAAGCGACAGAAATATGTCACTGACTGGGGTTTTAGTTGAACTGTCCCTTTAAAGACAGGGCCCAGGGAGAGCACATCTCAATTCTGATCACAGCCAACAAAGAGCTTAATATGATGTGTGTGTGTGT